GACTACGCATAAATTATTCAAAAACTAAACTAATGACCAATCTTGTTATTAGTGGAAATGTCTCGGTAGACGGAGCAAATATAGAACAAGTATATTCATATAAATATCTGGGGCACGAAATAACAATTGGTCGCGATAACCAGACGTACGAGATACAAAGAGGAATAGGACTAACATGGGCAACATTCGGCAAACTAAGATACATATCTTAGTTTGCCGAATGCTAATTAAAATCAGGTCTACCAATGTGCTTAAAGAGGAAGGTGCGTTATGCCAGTACTTACATATAGCGCAGAGACACTTACACTGACGAAAAAGTCCATAGAAGAAATCCGTGTAGCCCAACGAGCTATGGAAAGAGCAATGCTTGGTGTATCTCTGAGACAATATACCCAGTACAGTTATAAAACAGCGTACACGAATAACAGATGCTATATATCTGCTTAAAAAACTCAAATGGAACTGGGCTGGGCATATTGCCAGAAGAACGGATGATAGATGGACCAAGCTAATACTAGAATGGCTGCCAAGACAGAATGCTCTCAGAAACAGAGGCAGACCTACGACAAGATGGTCAGATGACTTAACGAGATTTAGGGGAAACTGGATCCAAGTGGCACAGGACCGAGAAGAGTGGAAAGATTTGAGGGAGGCCTACGTCCAGCAGTGGACACTTCAGGCCGGTTGATGATGATGATGATCGTTGAAATAATTCTTTGAGTTACGGTTACAATTTTTATTTTTATAGAATGTAAAATTATCAAAATATTAGTACTGTAAGACAAGTAGGTACTGTCGTAGAGCAATCTTCAATTTATTTACCATGAAAACCCCCTCTTACATTACAGAAAAGATTTTGTAACTTCTTCTTCATAAACAAATAAAGGTTATTAAAATACTTGAAACGCGTGCTTGGTATTTTAATGAAGAGACACCAAATGATACATTACTATGGCCTTCTCAAATTATAATTAGATTCTGAAAATTACACACATATGTTCTTGCGCAACTTATCTTTTAATACCGTAGCGGTCGTCCTATTAAAATATAAATATTATTTTTAGTTTTACGGTTTAGATGAAAACTTTTACTTGTAGGCAGGGTCGTATTAAGTTGTAAAATTTATGTTTACAAGTATGAAATTATATGTAATTCATAGACCATGAAAAAGCATTTCATATGATACAACTGCAATAAGTATATAGGAAGAAAATCATATATATTTGATACCAATCAAACTTTAAGTTACGTAATCGAGGGTGGGTTTTTTAAATTCATTGTTGCCAACCATGGTAACATATTCGTCGCCAGGCTGACTAACTGGAATTTAAATTTCCCGCTGGTGATTCAGGTGGTAGCTCTGCTGTAAAAAATGCATATCCTGACATTGTTTGAAATTTTACTTTTTGGTTTAAATGAATTGTGTTGTGATATTTTAAGCTAAACATTTTTTACTAGCAGACCTTGCAGTCGAACATTGTTCTTTTTAGAACTTCTTTTAGTGCGAAGTGTACAAGATAGCTCAATAGCCGTAAAAAACTCATCGCAACTTTATTAGAACATTTTGAACGGGAAAACGGTAGTAATGGCCCTTTATGTCAATTAAGTGCTGTTAAGGAGGTGAAATTTGTTGATGTACATAATAACTGTTTATATATTTATAATTAATTTATTTTTGTTTCCTAAAATATTTTGATTAAAAGAAAATATGTAAAAGTGGGTAACGCTGTGCCGATCAAGCTTAATCACTAAAGGTTTATTTGATATGAGCTATAGGAATAATTTCACCTAGATTAACGGAGAGTTATTCATATACTGCATTTAGTTCTATTTTTTTCACGTTTTCAAGTTTTTTTATGTTTTCAAAATTATTTTTGTTTGTAAATATCACAGCATTTGTTGGTGTAATACTTACTAGCAATTAATAATGAAAAAAAATTATCTGTGAAATATTGTTTGTTTCTTTAAAGCTTCATTTCCTTTAAATTACTTGAAACCCCATTAAAAATGTGCAAGTCTTGCAAGAGTTTTGTAGTAAAACCAAGACTACTTTCTAGACCAAAGTCAGCTTTACAAGTACCTTAGTCACTAAATAAAAAATACATATTATGGAGGCTTTATTTGTGACACTGTATTTACCAAAAATGACAAGAGAACTCTCAAAAATATGCAGAGGAATTGAGAATTTGAGAGGAATACCCAATCTGTGGTTTAGTAGAAATTTTATATAAGACCCACTTTATAAAAATACATTTTTTGTTCAGACGAAATTCATGAAAAGTAAGAGTGATAAGATTTCAAATTAACTCACTGTATATAAAAATTATGCTATCTTATTGACTTTTATAACCGGTAATATCTAATTATTGTTCTTTGTACCATGCTGCGATATCTAGTTTCTTTCTCTTTCCCACTCGCACGCTGCGGTGATATTATTATTATATTTTAAATAATTGCAATTTTAATAGTTCATAATTTGAATTGCAAATCAGCTTTATCATTCTTTATTATTGAAGTGTTACACATTACTTTCAGAAATGCGTTTAATAATTATCTATTCCCCTTTTATTAAATGCAAAAGGCCGATTTTTTTTCAGCAAATTCTTTAGTTTTTTATGGTTTAACTGTATGTCTCTGTTTCTTTATAGTTCAACTACTTTATCTAAATATCAGTTGAAAATAAATCAGTAGCTACAGATTTATTAGTTATTAAATATTTTAAAGTTAGTTTAAAAGGTGATGATCGTGATACAGTAGGTGATGCAGAAGTGATACATACAGCCATTACTGGCTGAAGAGTATTTGACACACATCAGAAGATGGTCAAGGCGTTTTCTTTCATGAGCTTTTCTGTGACTGAAAAGCCCGACACGTGATATTATCTTTCTACCGCACTTGTTGCCTCTTTATTTTTTGGTTGTCGCTGTTAACTGAGTTTACAATTCTTCTCCATTGCGTTCTATTGTGCGCTCTTCCCCCTCATTCTGCATGTTAATCCCCTCTAAGCTTTCGTGGAAAATATCCTTGTACAACGCTTGTACTTTTTTAGTTGTCCACCCGGCCGTACCGGCTCACCGTAAAGCAGAGATTTTGGAATGCGATTTTCTTGCATTCTGCATACGTGACCAGCCCATCTTAAGCCGGATTTTGTAATCATGACTTCAATGCTCTCGCAGTTACCTTTTTCAAGGACCGATACGTTTGAGACATGGTGGAACTGCTTGATTCTTAAGAGTTGTCTAAGGTGTCTCTGTTGCAACTTGTTTAATGCGTTCATGTGTCGGTTGTTTCATTCTTAATCTAAGGTTGTTTCCCTTGTTTCGCTTCCATATAACATGGTGAGGATTATTATTACTCGGTACACTGCAAGTTTCATTTTTGTGCTCAAGTCATGAATGTAGAAAACCCTGTCTTTTAATTTCCAGAATGCTCTTGAGGCGCTGCTAATCCTGTGCTGAATTTCAGAGTCGATATTGGCCTTGTCTGAAATCAAATTGCCGAGATAATTGAATTCCGCTACATATTCCAATAGTTCTTATCCGATTTTTATAGCATTTTTGTGATCTTCCGGGTGAGTACACATGATTGTAGTTTTGTCGATATTCAGCTACATAATTTTATTTTTGTCGATGTTCAGCTTAAAGCCTTAAGCCCTCGTTTTGCAACTAGATGGGTTCATCAGTGTATTGAAGTTCTGTGATGAATTTTGCAACTGTTTTTTGTCATCAGCGTTTTATGTTGAACAGATCGCCATCGTATCTGTATCTAATACCCAATCCTCTTTCCTGCAGTTTGCTGTTCACAATAGGCGCTGCCATGAATATGTTGAATAAGAGAGGCGCTATAAGACACATCCCTGCCTAACTCCTGTGTTAGACTTGTTGTTGTTATGAATGCTGGTTTACACTCTTGACTTTTTGTAAGAAATTTGTTGGGTACTCGAACTTTTCATAATTGCCCAAAGTGCATCTCTGTATACAGGGTTGAAGGCTTTTGGAGAAATGATAAAAGATAGCAAAAAGACACAAAACAACTACTAGAGCACGAAAAGAACCTAGTATGCCTAATTGAAGGTGTCGTCACTGGAAATTACCCCCACGGGAGTAAACATCGTGAGATGGAAGATTTCCAACAACGACTACTGCAGATAATGCGGATAGGAAAAAAAACCATAGAGCACTTGCTGCATTTTAAGTCAAAATCTAGAGACGCCATCAAAATTTAGAATGGTCTACATTAGTGGATTAATGGAAAATTTGACGGAATAAGAGGAAAACGTAGATAAAATATAAAAATTGCAGAAAGTAATACATAGAGATGATTGAAAAAATTATCTCCTTCCATATTTTTAATTACATATGTTATAACATATATAATTTAATTTTTCTTGCTAATTTCGTTTAATAAGCCAAATTACCTAAATTAATACTTATTTAAACATAGTTATTACAGTAATTAATTTTATTTTAACATTATTAGTTACTATTTTTTAACCATTTGATATTTTTGTAAAAAAAATATAAAAAATAATTGAAAAACTTACTAAAACTTCAAGGTTAAATTAAATAATCCTTATTACAGAAATAAAAGTAAACAAAAAACTAATATATAAAATAATTTCCTTTGTGTGCTCTTGGTTGCCAAGAGAACTGAAGTAAAATACAAATCAAATAGTAATTATAAATGATGATTAATTCTGCACAAATGATTATTAAAATATATCAATTACCAACAATGGTTATTTAATAAATGCAGTTATCCATTATAATACAAGGATCAAGGTTATAGAAAAGTTAAGTCAACTTCAAAGCTGGTCATTCTATAATGAAATTTGTAAATTTCAATACAAATGCCAATCAAGAAATGGACAGAACTTCGTCAAACTTAACTTTCGATATTGGAAACATTTTAGTTTCTAGAAAGTAAATAGAATTCTGTTTTATTATAGCAAAACTTTACTTTAGACAGTCAATGATATATTACAGTATAATTAGACTTACTGTGTGTGCTTGCCTAGCTTCTTCAATATAATGCGTAGTGATGATCACAGTCTTGTTGCCGTCTTTCGTTATTTGAACCAGGTGATTCCAGATGCTCTGTCTAAGTAGAGGATCCACTCCAACTGTCGGCTCATCAAGGATGAGCAATTCTGGATCGTGCATTAAGGCTACGGCGAAGGACACCCTTCTTTGTTGGCCTCCACTGTAAAATAAAATATATTTTTTACTATGATATTAGAAACGACATAATGACTTTTGCTAGACGGTTTTGTTCGACGAACAATAATGTTCAAGTAAAAATGTCGAACTTTCTTTGTACACACACAAACAGTTTTGTTAACAGTCTTATTGAAACACAGCTACATGAAGAAAATACAGGGTGGTCCGAATTGTATTCCGGAAACTTCGGCAGCATATCCTGCAGATAAAAATAAGTAAAAAAGTTCGTATAAATGTATACCCTAAAATGCTTAGTTTCGGAGATGATTTCACTTTTATTTCGATTTTTTCCAAATAATTTCTGAAGTAACGTCAACATTGGGATGAAAATTGGTGTTTGGGAGTTTTTGACATGAGAAATTTGATTTTGATGTCAATATGACTCCTATTTGTACAGGGCGCCATCTACATGTGTTTTAACTGTTTTGGAGAGTAATAACTTTTTGTCCGTACCTGTATAAAACTACTGACTAAAAAAATATACATTTCTGTGATTTTCTACGTAAAAAAATGTCTCTTGGTAAAAGTCGTTACGATCAACCGTTCTCAAGATATTTAGAATGGAAATAGTCAATACATGTCATTAATGACAAAAAATAGGCATGTTGAGTAGACAGATATTTGACTGGAATGGTAAATTTGGGAACTTTTTATTTTTCTTTAATTAATCTTAAATTTTTCTGAGAAAAAATGATGATAAAGAACTTTTAGCACAAAAACATTTCAAATTTATGATTTCAGCCTAATAACTATTTAGTCAACAAGCTTAATTTATGACAAAGATGACAGGTTTTGATAATTTCGATTCCAAATATCTCGAGAACCATTACTCGTAGCGACTTTTACTAAGAGACATTTTTTACGTAAAAAACGTTGTAAATGCATATTTTTTTACTCAGTTGTTTTATACAGGTACGGACGAAAAGTTATTACACTTCAAAACAGTTAAAAGTATGTAGGTGGCGCCCTCTACAAGTAGCAGTCATATTGACATGAAAATCAAATTTGTCGTGTCAAAAAACTCCCAGACACCAATTTTCATCCAAATATTTACGTTACTTCAGAAATTATTTGGAAAAAATTGAAATAAAATTGTAACTTCTACACCCTGTATCTCCAAAACTAAGCATTTTAGGACATACATTTATACGAACTTTTTTACTTATTTTTATCTGCAAAATATGCTCCGAAGTTTCCGGAATACAGTTCGGACCACCCTGTATATCTATGTGCTGTAGCGGCGGCATGCATCTAAATATATCAAAAAAAGCGAAGAAAGAGGTCTTTGAAAGGAATGGCTTTTGAAAAGAAGCAAGTTTTCTCACGTCAACTGGCGAAGATCCCACATTTTTTGGACAGCTATGCATAAACTCCTCTGTGTAGTCAGAAAAGAGAGTACACCCCCACACTGAGGAAAATGACAACTTTTAAAACTGTTTGGGCCCCAGACTTGCAGGAATAGACAAATTCGACGAACAAAATCGACAGACAAAATCCAGCTCAATTTGATTATTTTCATCAGATTTGTTGTCTAACAAGAACGACTGTTTTTGAATCTACACTTCAGTTTTGTGTCGTTTTTATTCGAACAGTTTTGTTTGTCGAACAAAATTGCCTGCAAAAACGCAATCTGGGGGGGGGGGGCTGATACTAAATTACAGCAGTTTTCTCAAAATATTTAGATGTAACAATTTTAAATAGTTTTTTTATTTATTTTTTGTTGTTTGTTTGCTTCTGAAAGGGACGGCACCGGCCTAAGATGCAATATATCCAGTGTTTTTTCCAGTGTTAAATTTTTAAAATCAAAAAATAAATTTTAATTGACTTTAATCATTAAATTGCTAGACTCTTTGTCCAATTAGAAACATAATCATGTTCGGTTAGGCAATACCGAGTTTCTGCAATATTATATACACCTTAATTTCAAGGTGCGAACAATTGCGGCTAGCTTCGTGAGTGAATTTCTCGATTTGATCGATACGCAAAAAAACGATCGAAAAATGTGTCAACGAGTCAAGTTCAAGCGAGCCATAAACAAAGAATCGTTTGCATCAGTCGCAATCTACGATACTACATATTTTTTACGCAATTCTAAGCTTATAAAAGGATGGAATGTGATAGACGGCTAATTAATTTATTTTAAAATGTCGTAGCGGAAATTTTTTTTTATGGAAATACGTATGTAATTATACGTTGTTTGATTTTAATGGTTGCGAAATTCAGGTATTTTCTGTATGAAATTAATTAGCTAAGAAAGGAGTTATTGTTAAATATAGTAATAAGATATAATGTCCATCTCGTCTTGTTGATCCAGTGGAATTCTTTATATATCAATCAGTTTTAAAACGTTCTTCCACGTCTTCCAATGCCCAGTTGCAATTGCTCCCTATTTAACCAGAGGTCGTCTTCGAGCTCTCGTTCTTTTAGCTCCTTGTCTATTCCTTCTTTCCAGCTCTTGCGTGGTCTACCCCTTTTTCGTCGTCCCGCTGGTATCCAGTTGAGGATCTGTTTTGGAAGCCTCTCCTCTGACATTTTTTATACGTGGCCATACCACATTAGTTGTTTCGTTCTTATGTCATCAGCTATTATTCGATTGAAACCCATAATTTCTCGAATTCTGTTGTTCCTATGTCTCTTCTGTATTTACCTGCGGCCTCCAGTGTGCGCACGGTCTTATGTTCTAACTGCCACACTTCGCGGCCATAGAAAACTATGCTTTTAACTATCGTACTATATATTTGACATTTGTTGGATTTAGAGATGTTACTATCCCATAAGACGCCGTTTAACATAGAGATTGACTTTCTTCCATGAGCATTTCTCTCCCTAATGGCTTTTCCAGAATGCCATCCCTTAAAATTTTGTCTCCCAAGTGTTTATAGTTTCTGCAGTCGTTAATATTTTGACCGTTTTCAAGGGGGAGGTTTCCTTGGTATCCGCCGACGCACATATATTCCGTCTTATCTAAGTTCACTTCCAATCCCCATTTGCTGTATTCTTCGATTAGCTTTTGTGTCATATATTCGAGATCGTCGGAGTCTTGCGCCAGTACTACTTCAGTGATATTCTTTCTTTATTTATATCTTTTATAAATATTACATTAATACAGATAAATACAGCGAATGCCCAAATGTCTGATGATTAAGGCGGGTTGACAGGGTCCAAGTGTCCTTGAAGAAAAACGAAGAAGTAGCTCTTTGATGACTTGCGATGACTTGTTGATATATTGGATTTTCTATAAAAGAACCAATAACTAAGTCAAATGTATTTTGTTCACTTCGAACGACAGGTTTCTGGCTAAAATATTTTTTATATACCACACTATCAGCTCTACGTTTTTCAAAGGAACGCTTGTCAAAAAAATTTCTATTTGGATATGTTTGAGCATAAACCCTTCGGGCCAACAAACAATTTTCCTCACAAAATAAAATCACTAGTAACATATCCATTCCTTGCGCCAGGAGATACTGCTTCATTTGTCTTCATAAAATAATAAATACTTACATATTAAACTATTAAATTAGTAAATTAAATAAAAGAAATCTGTTATAAATTTAAATAAAGTCCGTACACTAATGTCTATTTTAAAAATAGTTACTATAACTGCATAGATAAATGAAACAAGTTTAGATTGGAAAGTGCCCATAAGGACAATGTAAACACTATTTGGCGCTATTCTTGCAACGGTCGCGACCCAAAACTTTTGAAAATTTCGGAGCGGTTCGGCTTTTTCCGGAATTATATCGCCAAATATTGTTTATTCAAATCTATTATTATTTTCGTTATATATTATAAATAAAATACAGTGTGTTGCATACAAGAAACTTTATTTTATAAGGACGCATAAAAAATGAAATACCTATGAAACATTGAAACCGACGTTATGCCACGATCCACGATGGTTTTGCAGTTCACAGTTCACAGCACAGGTTTTAAGTTTTTAATGCCACTTTTTCACAATTATCACCGGTTGGAGTAAATAAAACTTGAATTAAACTCACAAAGTAGCAATAATTACTTTGAAAATGGACGCTATAAACACTTTTCGGAATTTCTTTAATGAGAGCGGTTTAGATTTTGAAGATTTTTATGATTTTTGAAGATTCTGACTTTGACAAAAGAAAATTATTTCTGTTTTTGTTTGCCGTTGTTCTTAGCGACCGCTATAGCAGCGCCAGATCGCGTATAACGGTCGCGACCCAAAATAATTTCGCGACCTAAATTTTTTACGGGCTTTCCAATCTAAACTTGTTGCATTTATCTATGCTATAACTGTCACTAGAAAATTGCCATGGTGATACCGCAATTTTATTTATTTATTATTATATTAATAATAAATAATAACAATACGGCTATTTTAATACAATTTAATAAAAATAAATGTATTGCTCATGCATCTGTAGATGTTAGTAATGTATGGCAATCGCTTCTTTGATTTAAAAGAACATAAATAAACATAACATACTTAAAAATTAAAAACAAATTAAAAATAATCATACAGAAAGTGTTTAAGCTTTTTGGTTTTACCTTATTAAGTAATTGTTATCAGGGAGTAATTTTTAATTTTTGAAGTTTAACTTGATATAATGTCATTTTAACAGAACATCAACGGTTTTTGTAGACGTATCTGTTTAAAGAAAACTAAAGCGTTCTTAGAATAGTTGCATTGCGTCTTAGAATAGTTAAAAAAAAACTAAAGCGTTCTAAAGAATAGTTGCATTTAAATATTTTAAATAGTTTTTTCTTTGTTCTTTGTATTTTTTTTGCTTCCGACGACGGAAAGAGATATACTTTTCGAAACGTTAAGCATTTTTTTGTCCGTTAGGCATTTGTTCATTAGTAACCACTGTTGACAATTAGTCTCCATTGGATTAAGGCCAGCAGTGTTTACAAAAAATAACTATTTTATTCTGTAGATTTTCTTCCAGTGCCGAAATACCCGTAGGACTTTTTTGGATTTATTATTAAAGTATGTAAAAATTAATAAAACTTACCTTAAATTTTTTACCAGCCTATTTTGACTAGGTAGATCCAGAAAGTTCAGTAAAAACTGCAGCCTCTCCTTGATCTCCGAGGTGTTCATGCCGAAGATCCAACCGAAGTACAGCATCGTTTCTCGAATGGAAAACTCCCCATACAGGGCTATTTCCTGGGGCATGTACCCCACCCGTTTACCTGGTACGCCCGAACCCCTGGTACCCGGCTTGCCGCCCAACACCCATATTTCACCTGTGTTTAACCTCCGCCGTCCCACGATACAGGACAGGAGGGTCGTTTTACCACAGCCTGAAGCTCCTAGTAGACCATATCTGAAAGAAGAGACATACTTTAGACAGAAATAAATAAATAAGCAATGAATTGAAAGAATTCCAACAATTTAAATAATCATAGAATATCTAATTCGAAAACCACATCTGCTTCATTATTTATTTATATATTCTCTGCTGATTATTTATTATTAGATTTTCTAAGATTGTTGTGATAACATTTAAACAAAGTGTCGTAACTGAATATTAAAAAAATATAATTTAGGTACAACAAACTTTTTCTAGCTATAGTTTGAAATTTTAAAGGACTACTTTTTTTCAAAAAGTATTAAATATGCGAACGACCATTGACATTTGGAGTCAAAAACCACTTCTTGCATAGCTATATATTACAGAAGTTCGTAATAAGTAATTGAACAGATCTAAGGCTAAAGCATTCCATAAGGTTTCTTACTCAAGCCATATTTCTTCTTCCAAAATATCTTCTGCCTCTAATCATTCTCTCCCTAATTAGTCTTAGTAGAGTGTAGTCATATCCCGAGAGGAGACCTCGAAGGTGCAAAGTATTATAATTTTCGTTTTTTTATGGTAAATTTCTTCCTTTTCATTCGTATTTTGCAATATTTCCAAGTTGGTAAATATAGAAATTTTCATTTTTAAGGAACATCATCTTTTTAAGAAATTCGGATCATTTTTCATATACAGTATAGGGTGTTTCAAAACAAATGCGAAAAACATCAGGGGGTGATTCCTTGTTTAAAATAAAGGGTAGTTTGCTTTATAAACGTTGGGTCAAAAGTCAACCATTATGGAGATATCGCGGTACAAAGATGGCGGAAAAATAATGTTTTTATTTTTTATCCTGAAAACGAAAAGCGATAGACTAATGAATTTTTATAGAAACATTACTGTTATGAAAACACACTTTCTGGTAATTTTCTCACTTTTTTAAAATGAGTGGAAGGGGTTGAAATAAACTACCCCTATCATTTTTGTTTACGAAATTTAATTTTCTGGCCGCCTCGATCCCCAGATTTGAATCCTTTGGATTTTTGTATTTGGGGATATTTAAACGAAGTTTACGTTTAGTTTTTAGTTTACGCTACACCAGTACAGGGTATCGAAGACCTACGAAATCGCATAATTGCATCATGTGATATAATAAGAAATAATCCTGGTATATTTCAGCGTATTAGGGATTCAATGTTGCGTAGGATAAATGCACATCACAAGGTAGACATTTTCAACACTTGTAAAAAATTTAATTGCTCCTGCAAAAGACGTGTTTTGAGTTGCAATGTTTAAACATTATTTTTTTAACGATATTATTTTGTACTTTCATGAATTAAAATACAGAATTAAACATTTTCTTGGCAAATAATTTTCAAGAGGTTATTACGGAATTAAACTGTTTGACAGCAGCCCACTAGATTCTTTATCTAAAAATGTTTTTGGGCCTGACATGTAATGCTTTACATTTTATTTTTTAATTTAAAATCGGTGAGTTTTATCAAAAAAACAAACAGATAAAAACGTTTTTAAACAAACTAATCTATCCAAATTAATTTTTTTGCATGTGTTTGATAAGATTTTTCTTTAAATTTCGTTAACAAGAATGATAGGGGTAGTTTATTTCAACCCCTTCCACTCATTTTAAAACAGTGAAAAAATTACCAGAAAGTGTGTTTTCATAACAGTAATGCTTCCATAAAATTTCATTAGTCTATCTTTTTCCGTTTTCAAGATAAAAAATAAAAACATTATTTTTCCGCCATCTTTGTACCGAGATATCTCCCTAATGGTTGACTTTTGACCCAACGTTTATGATGCAAACTACCCTTTATTTTGAACAAGGAATCACCCCCTGAAGTTTGTCGCATTTGTTTTGAAACACCCTATACAGGGTATTTCAAAAACATGTGCCATTACTCGTGGGGAGATTCCTCACGTAAAAATAAGATTTATTTTTCATATCAACATAGGTCCGATTCAGCTTTGTTTTGTAGCTACAGGGTGTTAAAGTCTTAATAATTTTTCGATTTATTATAATTCTCTTCCAAGCACTTTTAGTGATTAGAACGAAATTTTGAAGGTAAAAGTTTGGTTTGGTGATATCTCCCTAATGGTTGACTTTTGACCTAACGTTTATGAAACAAACTACCCTTTATTTTGAACAAGGAATCACCCCCTGAACTTTTTCGCATTTGTTTTGAAACACCGTATACAGGGTATTTCAAAAAACATGTGCCATCACTCGTGGGGAGATTCCTCACGTAAAAGTAAGATTTATTTTTCATATCAACATAGGTCCGATTCAGCTTTGTTTTGTAGCTACAGGGTGTTAAAGTCTTAATAATTTTTCGATTTATTATAATTTTCTTCCAAGCACTTTTAGTGATTTGAACGAAATTTTGAAGGTAAAAGTTTGGTTTGGTGATATCTCCCTAATGGTTGACTTTTGACCTAACGTTTATGAAACAAACTACCCTTTATTTTGAACAAGGAATCACCCCCTGAACTTTTTCGCATTTGTTTTGAAACACCCTATACAGGGTATTTCAAAAAACATGTGCCATCACTCGTGGGGAGATTCCTCACGTAAAAGTAAGATTTATTTTTCATATCAACATAGGTCCGATTCAGCTTTGTTTTGTAGCTACAGGGTGTTAAAGTCTTAATAATTTTTCGATTTATTATAATTCTCTTCCAAGCAGTTTCAGTGATTTGAACGAAATTTTGAGGGTAAAAGTTGCTGTAAGTGCTACATATTTTAATGCTAAAAAAGTGTCGATTAATTCATCAGGGACGTGCATATGGGTTATCACTGGAATATTTAAAAAAAACATGTACTGACCACTGACTTTTTTCTTTTGATTTCAAAATTGTGTAGGTCGTTTAAGGCCAGTTAAAAGTTATCTCTTGATATTTTGTAGAATTCAGTCTCCTTGATGAGATTCTTGACGCAATTTTATTAATTACAATTAATAAAATAAAAATCAAATAATTAATGAATTATACATTTTACCTAATTTATTATTAAATATTATTACTATTAGTTATTATTACTATTAGTCCATCATACACCAATTTCAAATAAAAAACAATGGTATTTAAGTTAATTACAAAAAACCTAATTTTAAAAAGTTTTAACATCCTGTAACTCTAAAACTTTGCATTTCCATACCCATGTTTATAGGAACTTTTTTCATATTTTTGATGAGAAATGAATGAGTACCTACTTATTTAAAACTTTCGCAAGTTAATAATATTAAAATATTTTAAAGGCTGGTATTAGACTTGTATCAAGGCAAATTAATAATATTGCATTTATCTCATCCGGGAGGCAAAAATCGACAAAATATCAAGAGACAATTTTTAATCGGCATTAAACTGTTTACAACATTTCGCTAACAAGAGAAAAAAAAAGTCAGTGGCGTACATGCTCTTTTTGGAAAAATATTCTAGTAATAACCCAATATGCTGATACTTTTATAGCTTTAAAATATGTCGCATTTATAGTAACTTTTACCCTCAAAATTTCATTCATAACACTAAAAGTAGTACTTGGAAGAAAATTATAATAAATCGAAAAAATATTAAGATTTTAACACCCTGTAGCTACGAAACAAAGCAGAATCGGACGTATGTTGATTTAAAAAATAAATCTTATTTTTACTCGGAATCTCCCCACGAGAGATAGCACATGATTTTTGAAACACCCTGTATATTATTATACAGGGTGTCCCAGAAATAAGTGCAAGTATTTTAACTGGTAGTATAATTCAACCCCAGAAACACGCCTGTGAAGTTTTTTTCGAGAAAAAAAATTTTGAAAATTCGAAACTTTTTGAAAAAATTTTTGGAAATTTTTTTAGTTTTTAGGTAAAAAACATAATTTCTTGATAATATGGCAACATAGATATTAGATTAAATTTACAAGAAAGAAAATCCAGAAACATTCAGTGGTTCTCAAAATTTTAGCAAAAAATATTTTTTTTTTGGAAATTTTTATAGTAAAATAACTCCGTTATTTTGGACTATTTGAAAAACGATAAAGAGAAAATATGTTTCTTTTATCGAGATCCACAACGCCTTAAAATACTTGCACTTATTTCTGGGACACCCTGTATATATATTAAACGTTGTAAGTTCAATACTCTACCCATATGTAAAAAACTATATGACGAAAATTTGAACAACAGCACAACACATTTTGATGCGATCAATACACCATGAAATAAGTCGAAAGTTAAATTACAGGAAACAACAATTGATAGCCATTAATATAATTTTTTGGTTCATAACATAACAGGTATTTATGGAATGTCCCCGGTAAGTAATATCAGGTGCAGCCTTACGTAAGCGTAAATGCAGAATTGTGTTGTCTGACATACCGTTAATTTTACTTTCTATTTCGATAATTTCCGATTATTCTCCAAGCATTAGCTATTTAAATTCGTTTCCATACTAATAAGAGCTGTTTAAGCAATAATTAAAATGAAAAAAAGAAACCGATAGGATATTATTGTGTTTTCCCATTTAATTTGTGACGATGTGGACAGGCGACTGTCCAAAGGAGAACATGTTATTTTGTAACAGCTTTAAAGAATTGACGTAATTATGATTAATTCTTTCTGTTAATTAGAGTCTTATAATCTTTCTGTAACAGGGACATGTAAATGTAAACAGAGTTTTAAATGAATGGAAACATATTATTTGTATTTTTTTTGTTTCAAAATTGTTTCGAACAATAAAATGTTTCTTTATTTATATATTTATATACAGCAATAATTTTATAACAGAAAATTTAATAATAATTTTAGTGCCTAATAAATTAAGTTATTGGTGATGAAAAATTGGAAGTTATAGTAATATACAGGGTGTAATATACTACTACACATTTATGGAATCAAATTAAGTTCATTGAACACAAATTACTAGTGATGGGATAACTCGAGCGAAAATTCGCTCGAGTACTCGATGATTGAAATCACCGACATCGCTCAATTATGAACGGGCGATGCAAGTGACGAGTACCAAGCGATGAACGCAAGCGATCCTAGAATGAAATAAATTGAAATCCGATTTTAATGTGACATACTCCATAAAAAGTCGGGCGAATTTTCTACATACATTGCAGGTAGCAAATTTATACGACGCCGCATATACCGGGTGCGTCTCAAAAGTGACTCAACCCTATAACTTTTTTTATTTTTTTTTAGATAAAAAAATGAGATGGTATGTTAGTATATGACATAAATTAGGATTGATTGACGTATTCAATTGTTTTCTGTCACTTCCTGTTTCACCGGAAATAACTACAATTTTTGATCTTTAAATGGCACCCTCGGTATTTTATTACTTTATTCGATAGAAAATGACATTCTAAATACAATGACGTATCATATGTCAACTTAGGGAGTATTTGGGGTAAAACATGACCTTAGGCCGTATTCATGCGATAACAACACTGAGAAACAAGACAAACGCAGCGATAATAACTATTCACAGGTATATTTCGATACGTGCGTTTATGTTGGGGTTGTGATAGTAGCCAAGCATAGCAATTTAAAGTGTTGCATTTATCAAATAGTTAGTCTGGAAAAGAATTTTTTAAATTTCTTCAAATTGTGCAACATGATATATCACAAACGACAATTAAAAACGAGAGCTAATCAACACATTTCAAACTTAAGAGAGTTCTCTAAAGCTTTTCTACAAAAACTTCTACAAAAATTCTACAAATTTGTGCATTTATGTACTATTTAAGTCATTTAAGAATCATCATCATTTATCACAACTCTCATATAATCATAATCAAAATCTTGTAAGGTAGATTCGTTCAAGAAGGGAAAAATAAATGTGAATCGAAATTTTGTCGTGGTTTACCCTTGCAGCTTTAAAATGAAGGTACTTATTTGTTGAGTAAAGTATAAGCCCACGGCCACACAGAAAGCGTGTTTAGCGTTTTGCGTTTTTTGCGTCTCAAGCGCTTTTTGCGATTTTATCGTTTTAAGCGTTTTTATCGATATGTGTCCATTAAAAACACACAAAAGACGCGGCAGGTTTTCAGTTTCTATCCAGATGTCAATTAGTAACGTCGCAAGCTCGTGGATTCCCGGCCCGTCCAACAATCAATCCTGTGAGAAAGAGATAGGCGAGATCGGCGCCGTTAGCGTTGAAAAGACGAAGATAAAAGATGCTGGGATTGAATTGTGGACGGGCCGGGGCATATATTCGTAGACAAAGGCAATATACTGCTAGTGCCAGTGGTGTGTGTAAAAATAATAATTATTATTTGCCCTTTATATTACGAATTTTAGTTTATTATATGTGTATAGTTTTTTATATGTGTATAGTTTTTTTATATTGTAATGTTGTGGTTAGTACTTGTCATAATTATAATATAATATAATAAATAATTATAATTATATAATAGAATAGTAAATATTTCTAGTTGCTAATGCAATTTTAGGACATGATTTATGAAACATTTTGGAGTAAAACTCCTTTACGCGCTCTGGGAGTAAAAATTCAAGGCCGTGACATACGAGCTAGTGAGACGGCTTTGACACACGAGCTCGTTGTAACGAAACGTGTTAACGGCTTAGAAATACGTAGCGACGCGACGTGTATTTGTGATCAGTACACGTGTTTATCAAAAATATAATACAAATTTTGTAAAAGTGAATCAAAATTACGTGTAAAAAAACATTTGTTACACGTAAAAACTATTTTTGTTATTTTACGCGAATAAAACTGTTACACGTAATAAACTATTTTTTACGCGTATAAAACTATTTGTTACTGGTAGAAAACTATTTTTTACGCGTATAAAACTATTTGTTACTGGTAGAAAACTATTTTTTACGCATATAAAACTATTTGTTACGCGTAAAAATATATTTGTTACACGTAAAAAACTATTTTTTTACGCGTCAAAAACTTATTGTTTCTGGTAGAAAAACTTTCTTACACAAAAAAAATATTTTTTACCTGTAAAAAACTATTTGTTACACGTAAAAAACTAATTTTTACGCGTCAAAAACATTGTTTCTGGTAAAAAAACTTTTTTACCAAAAAAAAAAATTTTTGCGTGTAAAAAATTATTTATTACACGTATAAAACTAATCTTTACGCGTCAACAACGTATTGTTTCTGGTAAAAAAACGCTTGTTAGGCAAAAAAATTAGGTGTAAAGAACTATTTGTTACACGTAAAAAACTAATTTTTACCTGTCAAACTTTTTTACCCAAAAAGAAATTTACGTGTCAAAAACTATTTGTTTCTGTTAAAAAAACTTTTTTACGCAGAAAAAACACTTTTTACGCATAAAAAACTATTTTTTACGCGTAAGAAAATATTTAATTTATTACTTTTTCAAGATTTCAAGCTACACTTTTTCAAACATTTCGTTCAAATTCTTGAATTTAATAGAATCTTCCTAAACAGTAGATGTTCTTTATAAAAATATTTTTAGATAATACCCTAAGATGAAAAAAAATGCATACTATTTAATTTGTTTTTATTGTATTATTAAATATAACGTCCGCCTATGACGGGGTCTCATCTTAGAAAAAGCTAAAGACGCTACAGAAAACAAACTGATTTGTTTTCATTTGCGTTTTTTGCGAGACATGTCGAACGCTACACGCTTTTGGTGTGGCCACTCCTATATAATCCTGTTATTTTGTCGCTAAAGACGCTTCACGCTAAAAACGCAAAAAACGCTTTCTGTGTGGCCGTGGGCTAAGATAAAGCAAATTTTGGTACTGAATTTTGACAATTTTTGCCCAACCTTAAATTAATACATAGCTACGCCCATGCTTGAAAATATTTCTAAAGAGTGAATTATAATAAATCTAAATACACAATAGTACGCAACAGTTCATACTTGACTTTATTTGACTCAAAAGTTTCAAGCTTAAATTGGAACGGAATGTTGAGCAATACAAAAATTCTTGGTTCTATGTTTGACCTAAAACTACTAGGCGACGATTAGGTCATTTGAGTAGCTAGTTTCATAACTTAAAGGGCTAAATTTCTGTCTATGTTATCTTTGTTGTTACTTACATGGTTCCTTTGGCTACGGTCATGTTCAGGTCGCTAAGTACGTGGTTTGGATTCTTCTTTGAGCCGTAATGTTTAAAAGCGTGCCGTACGCACACGGCTTGCTGTCGTTTGTTCCAGAGGGAAGACTGCTGGTGAGCCATGTTCATCGGCCTTTCCACGTTCACACCCACCAAGTCCGGACCTGGAACCACCGGTTCCACTCGCTCTCCCATCACGCCGCTTTGACTGCAAAGAAAAACGAAAATGTTAGATCGGTTTGTGTATTTTTCTCAGTTCAGCCAATAAATAAATAGTTTTATCAAAACATATTAAAAATACTTATATATAGCTCACATTTCGGATCTATGTTTTTGTGTGATGCCATGTGTTAATAATAAGATCTGATGTTATAAAAATGTTTGGACGAAAACGGAGGTCTCCGATCTAAAGCATTTGAGTTTGAGTGTTAAATTTTTAGTTTCCCAACAAAATGGTCAATCTCTCAAAATCAAAGTGTTGGCACGAAGTATTTGATAGCTTCTCATTCTAAAGCAGCCTCTACACTATGCGAAAAACTCTTCGAAACATGTCAAGGTCGTATTTTGTCGCCTAACTTTAACGCATTTCGATTTATGTCCAGTTGTTTTGACCCACTTCGAGTTTCCTCGACCTACTTTCGAATCTTAAAAGCGCCTGAAAACTACGCGTGTGGGAGTTTTTTGGGCGTTTTTTGTTGCCTCGTTCAATTTTTTTTTGTTTTGAGCTATTTCCAAAACGTGGCGGTATCTGTATCCCAGTCAAAGGATTTTTTTCATAAATCTCAGTGAAATAAGTAAACCTAGACGTTTCTAAAATAGCTGTTGTTACGATGATATTTCTTTAATTACATCTTGTTTTATGTTAATATATACTATATTCTTTTATTATACAGGGTGGTCCGAATTGTATTCCGGAAACTTCGGCAGCATATTCTGCACATAAAAATAAGTAAAAATGTTTGTATGGATGTATGTCCAAAAATGCTTAGTTTCGGAGATACAGGGTGTAGAAATTTCATTTTTATTTCGATTTTTTCCAAATAATTTCTGCAGTAACGTCAGTATTTGGATAAAAATTGGTATCTGGGAGTTTTTTGACATGAGAAATTTGATTTTGAAGTCAATATGACTCCTACTAGTAGAGGCCACTACCTACATATTTTTTAACTGGTTTGAGGAGTAATAACTTTTCGTCCGTACCTATATAAAACTACTTTAGTAAGAGTAATAAAATATACATTTACGACGCTTTTTACGTAAAAAAGGTCTCTTGGTAAAAATCGCTACGAGTAATGGTTCTCGAGATATTTGGAATTGAAATTATCAATACCTGTCATCACTGACATAAATTAAACATGTTGACTAAATAGTTATTAGACTGAGATCATATATTTGAAATGTTTTTTACCAAAAGATCAACAAAAACTGTTTTATCATCATTTTTTTGCAGAACAAATATGATTAATTTAAAAAAATAAACATTTCCCAAATTTATTATTTTAGTGAAATAATTATATCTACCCAACCTGTTTATTTTTCGTTAATAATGGCATGTATTGACTATTTCCATTCTAAATATCTTGAGAACGGTTGCTCGTAGCGATTTTTACAAAGAGATTGTTTTTACGTAAAAAATCACAGAGATGTATATTTTTTCCCTCGGTAGTTTTATACAGGTACGGACAAAAAGTTATTACGCTTCAAAACAGTTAAAACACATGTAGGTGGCGCCCTCTACCAGTAGGAGTCATATTGACATCAAAATCAAATTTCTCATACCAAAAAACTCCCACACACCAATTTTCATCTAAATATTGACGTTACTTCAGAAATTATTTGGAAAAAATCGAAATAAAAGTGAAATTTCTACACCCTGTATCTCCGAAACTAAGCATTTTAGGACATACATTTATATGAACTTTTTTACCTATTTTTATCTGAAGAATATGCTGCCGAAGTTTCCGGAATACAATTCGGACCACCCTGTATACATATATTCCACAAATTTTAAAAATATTTTAACACGCGTTTATAATACTTATATTAGATATTTAAGAACAAAACCTTTCACTTAAACTGCAGGAATATAATTACAATATATATTTATGATTTAATTTTATTATAATGAATTAGTATATAAAAGTGCATAATATGATATGTTTGTTTACTCAATATATGGCTCACATTGCAAAAAACTTGAAAATGGTACCTTGAAATTAAACAATAAAAAATATGTAATATCAAAATAATAAATATAATATAAAAATATTACCAACAATGGTGCGGGAAAGATAGATAACCAAAATATGAAAGCTTTATTAAGAAAGTCTTTGATAAAATATATGGACAGGTCGCTATAATAAGAAGTAAACTTTTCTAAACAACTTAAGGTTAAAGGTGTTCTAATTATTTTCGGATGTTTGTATATATTTTTATTGCCTGCATCATAATTTCATATTATATTGTATGCAGTTATTTATAATTCAAGACCTATGATACCATTAAGACCAATTATTTGTTTAATCAAGAAGTTTCAAATAAAAGAAAAATGTGTATCATGGACAAAGAAATTATGATCAAATAAAAAAAAATATGGAAATTCCGTTTCGCGTAGTTAATATGTTAAGGAGCTTACGTAAATTTTGTTCATTAATACGAAAATTCCATACGAAAAATTATTAATGAATGCACAAATGCAAAAATAGGAATTAAAAATGCGAAACCAGAAACTTTTTAACCATCGGCAATTAAAATAACAGGTAGTTTTAATAATATATCCAAAAATAGACAATGGAAATAAACGAAATAAACTATTTAAAGTTGTAGGAAGAAATAGAACAAGGTCGCAAACACTGATGGGAAATAGAGTTATAAATAAAATTAGTTTTCCTTTCCAATATCGATGTGCTAAAAGCAGTGCAGCTATAGTAGCTATTTTCATCACTATCACGTTTATTTTGCTTTTAGTTACGGTGAAACCTCCTTTACATATTCATCTCTTATCTGCGCTCATGGTTTTCGATGTTCTACAATTTTATACCACTTTGTTCCTGCTTGTCGTCTTAGTTTATTTTCATTAATTAGTGCCTCTTTTTAGTCTTTTTACACTTTTTTGTTATCACCGTGTGATTTTGTTAAGCCTTCTTGCTAAATTACTTGCCTATTGCCATTTGAAATTTAATCCTGTGGGTGCCACTACGTAGATCATGTCTGACAACCCTAGTGTCAGATCTATTTTATCTACTCTATACTATTGTAGTCAATCTTTAGGTACTACTGTGGATTTTTTATGAACCATCTTTCTTTAGTATTTCTCGTTAGGCATCTTGCTAATTGTCATTCGAGGGATTTAGCTCTGTAGATTACGTCTATTAATTGTATTTCCTGTCCTTTCCGCTTTATCCTTTTGTGATCCCTCTTTGTTATTTCAAACTTGCATAACCTCATTTTATTACGATTACGACATTCAGACAAGAAATTAATGAAATAACCTTGTTTTTATCAATTATAATTATTTAATTTTTATCAATTATAATTACTAAAGACAACATTTTATTTCTTTATTCTTTATGTTTTTTTTGCTTCTTTCAACGGAAGGAGATATAGTTCATGAAACGTTAAGCTTGTTTGTCCGTTAAATAATTTGTTTTATTAGTAAAATAAAAAATAATAATAGCCAAATCAAACCGTATACAGGGTCCGGCAATAGTGCGTCGGGCATCTGTAGCTCCTAGAATAAAAAACTTGGGAATTTTGTTTAAGTGCAAATCTAAAGTATGTACCAGGATGTATTTCCGGAAAATATTTTAACTTCTATAGGGTGGCTCGAAAAAGTGTGAGTGGATCTGGATGACTTTTTTTTAAATAGAACACTCTGTATATTATTGCATTTTTGGCTTCCTTTCAGATCACCTTACATAATCCTAAGGTATGAGTAAATCTATTTCAATAGTTTCAGAGATATTAAAAAATAAACCAAAAATATATATTTTTCAACCCTTCTTAAAAAAATATTAAAAATACAGGAACTGTTCTGAAATTAAAACTATATTAGGTATTTACTTTTGATAGGCTGCACTTACTTTGTTATAAATATGATAATCGTAAATTATACAGAATGTTCAAAATTGTACACCAAACTTTCTAAAATATAAAACAATTTTTCTTCGTTTTTTTTAAATGGAACACCCTGTATATTATTCTATCAATAGACGGAGAATTAGAAAATGAACATTTTTTGTATTTAGAGTATTTCAAAATTTTTAACGGTTTCGCAGATATTTGCAGTTTTATATTTCATATGGCATTTTCCACAGTAAATTTTTATCAAAGCCACCCAATGATTTTTCACTCGTATTTTACCATTGAAAGCGCCATATGAAGTAATACTGCGTGTATCTGCGAAACCATTAAAAATTTTGAAATACTCTAAATACAGAAAATGTTAATTTTTTAATTCTCCGTCTAATAAAAAAATAATATACAGGGTGTTCCATTTAAAAAAACAAAGAAAATATATTTTATATTTTAGAAAGTTTGGTGTAGAATATTGAACATCCTGTATGATTTACGATTACCATATTTATAGCAAAGTAAGAACAGACCATCTAAAGTAAATACCTAATATAGTTTTGATTTCAAAACAGTTCTTGTATTTTTAATAATTTTTTTAAGAAGGGCTGAAAAATATACATCTTTGATTTATTTTTTAATATCTCTGATACTATCGAAATATATTTATTCATATCTTAGGGTTATGTAAAGTGATCTGAAAGCAAGCCAAAGATGCAATAATATACAGGGTGTTCCATTTAAAAAAAATCATCCAGGTCCACTCACACTTTTTTGAGCCACCCTATAGAAGTTAAAATATTTTCCTGAAATACATCCTGGTAGATACTTTAGGTTTGCACTTAAACAAAATTTTCAAGTTTTTTATTCTAGGAGCTGCAGATGCCCGACGCACTATTGCCGGACCCTGTATATCGTTTAACGCCTTGGGGGTAGCAAGGTACAGCTTGCCATGCTAGAGCCGTTCGGTATACAAAGAAGGTAATGTGGCTAGCACTACGCTTCATACGCCTATTATTACCTCAGGATTGTGAATCCCAAGTACTCCTTTAAGGCTGAGTCGACCTAGGTACCAAACCAAACCTAGGTACTGACCTAGGTACCCAAACTATTTCTATTTTATTAAAAATAGTCGGC